CAGCCCATCGTACCGGAACAAGGATAAACCCATCAACCGTCTCGAAAGGCAGCAATGAAAATATTACTGTAAGTGTTAAGAATCGTTACGAATAATTTTATTTTTAATTTGCAACATTGTTGAATTTATTACGTTCGATTACCCAAGGTTGAAAATTACCTATTTATTGAATTTTCCAACGTAGAATCGTTGCGCGATAATCATTTTGATTTAATTTTAGTCTGCAAGTTTAACTTAGCAATATTTAAAACAAAAATTGTGTTTGAACTCCTATAAATTTATTTGCTTTTTCTTAAAACCTAAAATAATGGCAACTCAATCAGACGAACCTAGTACAATGCTGGAAGTTGAACCATATAAACTTTCGGAAATTTTCTGTATCGTACCTGAATTTGAGGGTGACCAAATCTTTTTAGGAAATTTTATAAACGCGTGTGATTGTGCTTATAATATGGCAACAACGCAACAAAAAATTCTTTTAGTTATTCACATTAAAAATAAGCTCCGCGGTAAAGCAGCTCAATTAATTAATTCTAGGAATCCTGATTCATATCTAGAAATAAAGAAACTATTAACTCTACACTTTGGTGATTCTAGAGATTTACCTTCCCTAATTCATGACCTTCAACGTCTTAAACAATTGCCCAATGAATCAGCATTAACATTTTTCAATCGTCTTCAAGTCCTAAATGCGAAAGTGCATTCATGTGTTCAAAAATCCACCACATTAGGATCCAAAGAGCAAAAAGATGCTCAGATATCTTTAATTGAGACTATGACCCTTAATACACTTCTTACAGGCTTAGAACCTAGATTAGGTCAACTCATTCGTGCTAGTAATCCCACTTCACTTTTAGAAGCCCAAGCAAGGATTCGTCGAGAACTCCAACTCTCATATTTTGAAAATCAAAAATCTGTCAAATTAAATTCTCCTAAATCGCATTCTGCGAATATTCGAACCCCTCTTCAGCAACCTAAATGCACTTTGTGTAATAAAATTGGCCATACTTCAAATCAATGTAGAAGTACGCATCAGCATGTCAAACCAAATTTTTCGCAATATCCACAGCGACCTTCTAATTGGTTCCAACAAAGCAACATTAGCAACAACTCGAATCAAATACCGATGAAATCTTCAAACTCTTATCCTAAGCCACATTTTATGAATCCAAACCCGCAGCGAACTCATCACGTAAACTCAAACCCGATCTACATCGACGGTTATTCCGGAAATTCCCAGGAATTTTCACATGAAAATTACACTCTTCAAGAAGATAATGAACTTCAAAATCATTATTCTAACCATCCAGAAAACTGCGAACCAGAGCAGGATTTTCAAGAAAGCCCTTACGATATCCCACCAGACGAAATGTCTCCAGACCCGATTTTCGAAATCAATTCCCAAATTCAAACCCTGAATTTAGACAACATGAATCCCAATCTAAACTTTCCAGAACAGAACTTCTGTTAAACCCTCTTCTTACGGTAAATTCTAAAAATTTATACTATATTTTTGACGCTACGCAAAAATTCAAAATATTAATAGATACAGGCGCAGGTATTTCTATCTTTAAATATAAAACCGCTGAAAATTACAGAACACGAGTTAAGGAAAATATTACCATCCAAGGTATAACAAATCAAACACTTTTTATTAAAGAATCCACACTTATTCCATTCACCGATAACGACAAACATAAAGTATATCTTTACGATCTTGATATCGAATTTGACGGAATTCTCGGTTTAGATTTTCTAGATCGCTACCAATGTATAATCGATTTAAAGTCCAAAAAACTTATAACGAATTTCAAAACAATGCCTTTGCATAAAGTAGGACACGAATCTGTTCTTTCCAAAATTTGTAAAAAACCTGAACAAAATATTCAAAATCGAATTTCAATCGAACCTAGGACCGAAAGAATTTTCAAATTAAAATGTAGTTTAACAAACACAGACGCTATTCTCCACTCTCAAGAATGCGAAAAAGTTAGGTTACCTAATGCTTTAGTTAAAGTAAATAACAAAGGTGAATTTTTTACTACTGTTATTAACGCTAATGCTATCCCAAAAACTATAGATTTTTCAAATTTATCTATCGAACCTTTTAATACAAATCCTAACGAAAAAGAAATAAATAATATTTTCAATTTAAATCCTCAACCTGTTGATAGGCGCGGTATAATTCAATCCCAGTTACGCACCGATCATTTAAACGAAGAAGAAAAAGAATTAATAACACAATTATGTCTTGATTTTTCTGATATATTCTATTTAGAAGGAGATCATTTAAGTTTTACTAATGAAATTAAACATACTATTGAAACGAACAACGCCAGACCGATTTTTACCAAATCATATAGGTACCCACATGTCCACAAACAAGAAGTAAAGTCACAAATCAACAAAATGCTCGAACAAGGAATCATTCGACCTTCCACTTCTCCATGGTCTTCCCCTGTTTGGGTTGTCCCAAAAAAATTAGACGCTTCTATGAAACAAAAATGGCGCGTAGTCATCGACTATCTCTTAGACCAGTTAGGCAGATGTCAATATTTCACTACTTTGGACCTAGCCTCTGGGTTTCACCAAATTGAAATTGATCCCAAGGACGTTGCTAAAACTGCATTTTCAGTTGAAAATGGTCATTTTGAATTTCTCCGTTTACCCTTCGGACTAAAAAATTCTCCATCCACTTTCCAACGTGTCATGGACAACATTCTCTTAGGTCTTCAAAACGAACGATGTCTCGTTTACATGGACGATATTATCGTTTATTCCGCTACCATACACGAACATATACAAAGGTTAACTGATGTCTTCAAACGCCTTCGTGGTGCAAACCTCAAACTCCAACCTGACAAGTGTGAATTTCTTCGAAAGGAAGTAGCTTATTTAGGGCATCTCGTGACCCCAGATGGAGTCAAACCCAACCCTGAGAAAATAGACGCTATTCAAAAAATTTCAGAACCAAAATCACCAAAAGACATTAAATCCTTCCTTGGTTTAGCCGGTTACTACCGACGTTTTATTCCCAATTTCGCTAAGATTTCAAAACCTTTAACTAGACTTCTCCAAAAAGACACACTCTTCGTATTCAATTCAGAATGCAAAAATTCATTTAATGAGCTTAAAAACGCTCTAATACGTGACCCAATACTCATTTATCCAAATTTCGAGGAAACTTTTGTCCTAACCACCGATGCCAGTGCATTTGCCATTGGTGCAGTTCTTTCACAAGGTCCCATTGGAAAAGACCTTCCCATAGCATATGCCTCTAGAACTCTATGTAGTGCAGAGACGAAATTTTCAACTATAGAACGGGAACTTCTCGCCATAGTATGGGCAGTTAAACACTTCCGCCCTTATCTGTTCGGAAGAAAATTTACTCTCGTTACTGATCATCGTCCTTTAACTTGGCTATTTTCGATAAATGATCCTGGTAGTCGTTTAGCTCGATGGCGTCTTAAGCTTGAAGAATACGACTATACCATTGTGTATAAGCCCGGTAAAATAAATAAAAACGCAGACGCTTTATCCCGTGTTAAAATTAACCACATTCAAGATTGTGTCGATCTCCAAAAGAAAATTTTTATCCTTGCATCTAATAACGATGACATTCACAACCGACCATCCACAAGTAAAGAAGAAATCGTTCACGTTGACAATTCTAATAATTCAGATATCGAAGACGACACAGCGGAAGTTACAGAAGAATACAGCAACTTCGCATACCTTCACAAAACCACATCCCTTATAGATTATTCCAAAATAGAAACCTCTAATTCGCAACTTCTCGACAAAAACCACAAAGATATTGTCACTTTCTTTTGGCAATCAAAACTTGATGATTTGCACAACAAAATAATGGACGATATTTTTGAAGAAGATATAAATTTTACGTTTAATAAAATTAACATTTTTTCTAGCAAAACCGTCAAAGGCAGGAAATATTATATAATCCCTCTTCCATATGACAATGAAACTGTAGTTCAACATTTATTCTATATTTTATTCACAGCTAAAAATGACTTTGATCTTTCAAAACTGTATTGTATTGAAAATAATTTACAACTTCCAATATTAGAAGTATTCTCCTTTATATTTTCCGAAAAGGATATAAAACTAAGAATCTGCCAAGATATAGTTCGAACTCCCGATCAAGACGAAATCCCTATCATTTTAGACCAATACCATTCAGGAAAAAATAATTTACATCGCGGAATCAACGAAACAGTTAAGCGCATAAAGCAAAAATACAATTGGCCAACCTTGACCAAAGATGTCGAAAACTATATTAGAAAGTGCGAAATATGTCAAAAAGTCAAGATCTATCGTAAAAACCTCAACACACCATTAGTTATCACAGAAACTCCTAAAACTCCTTTTGAGCGCATTAACATCGATATTTTCGAATTCCCAGTTCGTAATTACGCCCTTACCATAAGAGATGAACTCACAAAATTCACCCAGGCATATCCAATAAAAGACAAAAAAGCTTCTACAATCGTTACTACCCTTCTTCTCTACTTCCAACATTTTGGAACTCCTCTTAGAATACATTGTGACCATGGCCGGGAATTTGATAACTCCCTCGTCAAAGATCTTTGTCTTTTGTACGATATAAAGTTAACTTTCTCCAGCGTTAGCCACCCACAATCTAATGGATCACTAGAAAGATTCCATGCCACGCTCACAGAAATGATCCGAGCTCATAAAGCCGAAAATCCAAAAGAACACCCCTTTCATGCTCTTCCATACGCAATAATCTGCTACAACAACACAAAGAATAAAACGCATGGTTTTTCCCCTTATGAACTAATATTTGGGCACACTTCTAGTAGGCCTCCAGAAATTCTGTATAATGAAGAACAACTGTATAATGAAGAACAACTCATCACCAAATACATCCGAGACCTAAATAATCGCATGCAGCATTATTACAGAGTCGCGCGTACCCGCACTGATCAACAAAAACAAAAATCCAAAATAAGATTTGATCAAGCAATCTCTAGAAATATGACTAAATATAATGTAGGAGATAAAGTTTATGTTAAGGAAACTCAAATTAGCGATAAAGCTCAGAATAAATTTAACGGTCCGTATGAAATTCTTGAAGTATTTGAAACTTCAGCCACTGTCAAAAATTTAACTACCGAACAAATTTCAAAATTCAATTTTGACAAGTTTAAACCTTATTACGATTAGATTAAATTTCTTTCAGGATCTTGGGACTGATCTCTACAGTCGCACCCCAATTCCTCATTACTCCAGTAAATAATACAGTAGGCATCTTCTACCATGAAGAAAGTAATTTAAGAATATCCAACAACAAATGGACGCTGCTAGTCTATAAGGAACTAGAACCTCTGCGAGAAGCCATACGACATAATAATAAAATACTTTCCTCTCTCACAGAAATGTTAGACGATTCTTCTCCTCGTATGACAGCCTTCAAAACAAGTATCCAAACTCATTTTAGACTTCTAACCAGAATTGCTGACTCAGTCGAAGAAACATTTTCAGAAATTACTATCGACACTGAAAATTTTAATTTTAGAACTAAACGCGGTTTAATTAACGGTGTAGGAACTATTTTTAAATCAATTACCGGAAACCTAGACTCTACAGACGGCGAATACTTTAATGAATGCATAGATAAAGTAACTAAAGACGAACACGAAATCAAAATCAAATATCGGTTACATCATCTGTTATAAAATCTTTTAATTCTACAATTCAAAGTCTCCGAATCGACGAAGAAACTTTCAATCAGGATCTAACTCAAATTCAAAAATCTCTCTATGATATTTCGGACACCGTAGCATTTTACGAAAGTCAAATTAAAACACTTAATCTTTGCGAAAGCCTTATGGAAAGTTATGTATACCTAGAGTCTTACCTCAGCGATATATTAAACGCAATCACGTTCGCACGAATCAAAGTTTTACATAGTTCTATTATTTACCCACGAGATTTAGTCATTTCTCTTCAGGAAATTTCAAAATCCTTGACAAAAAATAATTTACCACTACCACCCTATACTTCGAGCATTGCAAGGTACGTAGATATTATGGAGCTAGAAGCATTTCAAACTGAAAATAAAGTTGTTTTTGTACTAAGAATACCCTTAATTGAGCCTGAAATATACACATTGTATCGTGTTTTACCTATTCCAATTTTGGACAATCGAACACGATTATTTCATATAATTCCATCAACAATAAAATATATTGCGCGTGATGACGATTCTTTACTCTATGTACTACCTGAAGATCTAAAAAGCTGCAAACAAATTCGCGGTAAAGAAAGAATCTGTTTTAACTTAATGCAATATCCCATCGATAGAGAAGCCCTTTGCCAAGCGCAGTTGCTGTTCCTGTTACATGTCAATCTTCAATCGTCTTGGCCTCCGATTACAATGTTATAGAAATCGACTTTAATTATTGGTTAATTACCGTATCCGAACCACTACCAATCTCCATTAAATGTGGAAAAAGAGACCTCGTAGCCGAAATGTTAAAAACTAATTCTTTACTTAAACTACAACCAGATTGCAGTGCATTTATTGGAAGCTCCAGAGTACGAGCTAAATACTTTGTCGAAGAATATAAGAACGTGACCTACAAGAGCCACGCCGTGGAGATTCCATATGATTGCTGTTCTCACATTCCAGAGAAGTTTCAACCCCCAGAGTTGAAACCCCTGAAGCTAAGTAAGATCGACACCGACGACCTTAACGTGGCCCAACACAAGCTGCACGAATATTCGGAAAAATTAGAAAACCTACTTCATCAACCAACCCTTCAGAAACATTCTCACTGGCTGACAATTATTTCGATTATTTTAATGATTGTTTTAGTACTTTGCTATTTCGTTTGCAAGTGCCGGAGAAAGAAACCGACAACACTCAGCATCGCCGATGGTAACGATCCCCAACAACCTCCGAAGCCAAGTCGAAGACCCCTGCTCCCGATGCAACTCAAATCACTAACTCCGAAAAGACGGACTAGCATCCACCCAGAAGTAACTACCCGAGAAGCTACGCTTTAATTAGTCTACGAAAAGCTGCAGCTAGGCTCCACCTTTTCACTTAATGGGGGAGCTGTTATATCCGGAAATCCTATTGTCCATATGGGTTAAATGCCACCGACCTGCAAGAGTGCAACGATTGCGAAAACGTCGTGTCAACGATATGTCGCAACAACATCCGCAGCCGTCGACCCCGTCAACGTCAGCATAAATTTATTATAAATACCAATTTCTATTGTAACACGTTGTCTGATAACATTCTCTCATCACGAGGTTATTATGTCCATTTTTAGTTTGATTTTAACGGTCTAATAACATTCTCTCGTCACGAGGTTATTACGTCCAATTTCATTTTGATTTTTATTTTAATTTAAAGTTAATAAATATATTTTTTAAAAAGTTATTTTTGAAAAGTGAAATATAAAATATATATATATATATATATATATATATATATATATATATATATATATATATATATATATATATATATATATATATATATATATATATAACGTTCCGCCACCCACTTTCGGGTGCCACAACGTTTAACCATGAAAATTTCAAAATCACTATCCCCTCCTTCTGTAACCAATAATGACAGATTTTTTTCTGGGAGCCATATGGCTCATTTGTAACGCCTTTTATACGCCAAGGGTTCACTCGCTTTAACGCTAGGAGGCGCACCGCAAAAAGTTTGTATCTAAAGTAGATAAAATCTGTATTATGTGGCAAATATTTGTGGATAATATTTCGACGTTTAGACACCCAAAATTTGGCAACGCCGATTTGAATGTTCCATTATATTTTCGTGCGATATTTTTCGCGGGTGTGTTAGGTGATGAACTGTCAAAACGAGTCAAAGGGCTAAGAAAAATTTAGTGTTGGTCGCAAGCAAATCAAGTTTTTGATTAGTTAGTTGCAACTTAAAAAAAAGTATTCGAATATTTCTATAGCAATTGCATTTTGGAAAAACTATGAAGTTTGTATAAGTTTTTGTTTTATAATTACCTGTTTACTTTATCAAACATCAATCGATCAGTAAAGCTGTATGATTGGATTTCCCTATATATTTATTCATTTCTAAATTATTGAAACAAATTTCAATAAATATTGAAAAATTATTCAAATACTGTTCAAAACTGACAATAGCAATTTAAAAAGAGATTATACTTTTATCTGTTACAGCAAGCTTCCTAAGATCATGAATAGTTTTCCAAACTAACTTCTTTTAAGTTTTAAGATCATAAAAACGAAAACGCAAAGAGCGAAGTAACAGATTTAGACGACACTGCATCAAGTTCTGATAACGATGTACCAGATTTAAACGACGACGTTTTAAATTTAGATAACGGTTCCTCAAATTGGGATATTATGACAAATTTAAATGCCTACGCACCTCATCTAACAAACGATCCACCACATGCGAATATATCAAATTTGGCATATCCTGCATCATCATGTTAGAACTGATTGGATATCCCAAATAAATATGTAACAGAGTTGAATGAAGGTGCTTCAAATTTAAATTACACATCCAATTTACACACCTCATTTTCAACGTGACGCACAAAACCACTAATCAAATTGGCGTAATGTTGCATAAAACCCAAATTTGGATTTGGGTAGCCAAACAACTCATTTGAAAGGCGATGCATCAAACATATATGACCATGCGAGAAATTATCAAATTCTATATACATTGAGTGAACCACCATTAAAGGAGCAAGAAGATTTTTACGCTGTAAACTTATGTAGCGGGATAGAGAACATTATCCAACAAATTTTCGATGTAGACTCTAAAAAATTTACTCGACATTTGAGTGAATCAAGTGCTTATGCTGCTTCCAAAAAAAACGTATGGCAAATATTTAAACAAGATGTCAGCAACGAACGAAATACTTAGCAAAACACAGCCATTAATGACATTCGGAAAGCTCGCCATGGAGATGATCTCAAAAAAAAATGCTGCACTCCGTGTAAATTGCGAGAAAAAGCTAGATTTTTGTAAGAAATTAGAAAGCTCGGTAATTATACCGTTATGCATTCAGCATTAAAACCAGAAAGCTCCGATTATGTAGTTGAAGCAGTAAAAGCACGTACGACGCAGATACTAAAATGTTTGGAGCTGATTTCCCGGCGTTACATTTTGGAACAACTATAATTATAATCCCAACAAAAAGCAATATTGAAGAAGTTCTAAAGAATTTAGACCATTTTAAAGCTTTGGTTGAGTCGCAATGGACCATCGAATTCGGAAGTCTGGCAACCAAAAATTTAAAATCATTCACTGCGTTAAAACCCAAAACAGTGTTTGATTGTGCGTAAGTTTGTACAGGAAAAAGATCGTGAAACAGTTGCAATAAATAAATAATAATAATAAATTATAATAAAAAATCAGACCGACTGAAAAATATTAGCTGAAGCGGTACTAATAGAGACAAGTCTTGATAATAGGAAAAGGTGATATGAATTCTTATAGAGAACAAATAGAAAATGAAGTGGATCTGTCAACTCAAAGCGAAATGACAATGGCTCTGTCTGAAACTGAAAAATTGCTGACTAAATATTATAAACGCAAGACTGCTATACGAAAGGGAAGTAGACTTATAAGTATTATGTTACCGAAAATATTGCAACAACAGCTTTATCAAACTATTTATGGAAATGGAAATACATATTTTATTACATTCCCAAATTCATCAAGATAGATGGATGGGTGTACCGCTATACGAAAGTACGCAGAACTGAGTGGGGTACAAAACCCCCATTATTAACGGCTTGCAAAATTAGAAAACAAATAGCACCTGTTACAGAGATTCTTAATAATAATGTTATTCCACAAGACGTTTACCCAATTGCTAAAGTAACGAAAATTCTTCAACTAGTGGAGCAAGGAAACATGGATAATTTTAAGAATTACAACTTGGATAAAATTGACAGACCACAATTTAGACGCGGAAAAAGAGGATGTATCTTCAACATCGGGCACACAAAATTGCTTTAGTGATGAAGGGATGAGCAGTTTTCACCTATGCATTTTAAATACCCAAAGTTTAAAGCCATATTTTGTCCCTTTGATCGATAATAAAGGACATTGCACACGAAAAAATTATCCCTGAAGTTATCAACTTTCGAATTCATCTCAAATCACTTATTTCTTCATTCCTGTCGGATATCGAAATCGACTCAGATGAGGAAGTAGCTACAGCAAGAATTATTTCTAGGCGAAGAAAGTTTAAGAAAAATTTTGGTTCATCAAAAACAATTTGTTAGATCATATGTTTCCAGCCTTAAAATATATTTTAGGAGATACATTTTAAGGATGCTATTGACAACAAAAAAGCTCTGAGGAAGCAGGAATGCGAGATATTTATTAAAAAACATAATTCTTGCGAAGGTGTTATTTGGTTTCGTGTTAAAACATTCCTATTTAATACTTACCTTTACGTTAAAAAATAGTTTGAGGTAAAAATAATTTTATTTTCATACTTGTATCTTGTTATAATTAAATGGCCGGATTTGAGGGATTTAAATATGTGTTTCTAAAAAATAAGAGCTAAATGGAGTGAATAATAACAATGAAGTGAAATGAATTTTTATTTACCTCGAGTTTGCATTAAAAATCACAATTAGAAACAATAATCACTGAACTGACTTCAGCGTGTACTAAGTTTTATGTATATAGGTATATATGTGCCACATAGCCAATATTTGTACAAGTGTCAGAAGGGCAAAATATATCTCTGTATAATATAGCGGGTGCTCATTTGACTACTTTCATAATGGGTGCCAGAAAGACACACATATATATATATATATATATATATATATATATATATATATATATATATATATATATATATATATATATATATATATATATATATATATATATATATATATATATATATATATATATATATATATATATATATATATACAGTTTTATGTAAATTTTATTTCTTCGTACCAAAGTAACTTTCAGTATGCAAGTTTTTTCAATTTCTGTTCTGTTCTTCTAAGTCTAAATCAGTCTAACTCTACTATTTCCCTAGCTTCTCAGATAGATATTGCAATTTGTGTTACTATTTATTTCTTAGGGAGTTTTTTATAATCAATGATAAGTAAAGAACGTTGATGGATGTTGATGGATTGATGGATATTTTAATGTTATTATAGTTGAAAATATCTTGATTAGTAAAAAATGAGTAATATGTTTTGCCGGATTCTGTATTTGCAACTTTGTTTTCCAATTAACCATGAACCCCTACACGTATAGCAAAGTGGTTACAACAAAGTTTAATTTTTTAAATTGCTCAAAATATTTTAGCTACACAAAAGGAACTTGAAGGCGCGAAACCGAACGGTGCCACAAAGGCAATATAGCTTATCAAGTAACGCATCGATCCAAAATCCTAACTTTCGAAGCGACTCTTTTATTCGTTCCCCATTCCAAAACATCTGAAGTATCGCTCAAGTATACAAAGACGTGAAATTGGAAATGTGAAATCTGATATACTGAATCGTTAACTTGTCAGGAATTTCTGATGAAAGTGAACGGTATATTTCATTTAGAGTCTTATATAAACAACGTGATTTAAAAAATATTCAACTAATAAAAAGGAAACAACGTATAATTTTTTAAATCAAATTTCGAATTCCGTGTCAAATTTCACGCATAATTTTATGTAGGATACTCTATATCTATCTGTTGCTTTTTCTAAGCAAAGGAATAAAAAACGGAAACGTAATATTGAAATAAACAAGTACAATTACATTTGTCAGTACAGTAAGTGAATATGTCGCAGTAACACAGCTCGTGTATTATTTGTTTTAGAGAAAAATTTTAAGTACGGAAGTTATGGATGAGACTAAAAGAAACAATTTAAAATTATTTTCAGATAATTCATAAATATGAGGGAAATCAAACTTTTTTTTTGGCACCCCCTGTATATTATATTCGCTTTTATTGTTATGCTCTATACTGAATGATTTCGGATCTATGTCCCTTTTTTTCGTCAAAAATGCCATGTATTTAATGCTCTGTATTATTGACGCCGTTACCGACAGCTGTAATTTTATTTCGCCAGCAATTTTATACAGTCGTACAGTCATTTATCCTACA